GATTCCATATGATGAAATGAGCCTTGTAGACTTTAGAAGGCTTGGCCATGTTCACACAGCTAGCAAATCAGCTAATAAATGGATCTGGGATTGTGATCCGGTTTGTCTGACACCAAAGCAGATTACCTTCACTGTTACTGAAGATTTGACAGTGGAGCCCATAGGAGGGCAATGAGTGGAACTAGGTCATAAGAGACAGAGCTGTACCAGGTCTCCTTACTCCCAGTCATGGGGTCTTCGTATCCTAATAGTAACAGCTTACACTGCCACTTAAGCCTGGTCCTCCTTGGAGATAGGTGCCTAGGGCAGAGGACCAAGAGACTGGGTCTGAGGGACTCTGTTAGGTTGGGGTTGGGGAAGAACTCAGGGAAGCCCAAGCTTTGTCCCCTTTTCTGTTCAGGCCAAGTGGCAACGCCTGGCCTCAGAGGGCAGCGCCCGTCTGGACATGTTTGAACACATCAGCCTCATGACCCTGGACAGTCTGCAGAAATGCGTCTTCAGTTTTGACAGCAATTGCCAGGAGTAAGTCTCTGCTGAGAGCCCGTGAATATGACTCATAGACCCAACAGAGTAGATGGAGGGAGGACTGACCAGAGCAATCAGAAGTGCCTTCCTGGAGGAGGTGCTTCAGAAGGACAAGGAAGGGGAAAGAGAAGGAGTAATCTTTTCAGGTGAGTATAAATGGTTGAGAAATGCCAGGAAGCTAAATGAGCAGAGTGTACAACAATGAGGAGACATCTTGGAAATGAGCATGGAGGGCTTGTCAGGGGATCGAACTTGAGGACATTCAAAGACCAGGCAAAGGGGTATAAACTTTATTCTGAGATTTCCAGAGAGCTATGGAAGGTGTTTGAGTAGATAAAAGTTGTGGCCAAAGCAAAGCTTGGACATCTGACTCTAAAGAAGATGAACTAGTGTGTAGAAAATGGGTCATGTTGACATTGGATGCAAGGAGCCTAGGGAGGGGGCTAAGCCCATTCACCAGTCGGGAGAGGATGAAGTCTGAGCTGTGACGATAGTTTTGGAAAGAAGGGGCAGACACTGGGTTGGAGAGAGAGATGAGAAGCATGATGTTTCAGCTGTGCTCTGGGAGCCTGGGGCATGGAGGCGACTCACAGAGACAGGAGGCAGGGAGAGAAGAAAGTCTGGAG